GGAGGACGGAGACGAGGAAGAGGAGGAGGAGGAAGGGAGGAGGAAGGGAGGAAGATGGAAGGAGGAGGGGAGAAGGAGGAGGAGGAGGAGGAGGAGGAGGAGGAGGAGTAGGAGAAGGACCAAAGTAAATCCAGGATGCACCAACTATGCCGCAATACCCCCCCGCGTCCCAAGACCCCTCCTCGGGCGATTACCGCCGAATCGAGAAAGATAGTTTCGCGGCTTTCCCCCCTGCCATCGAGCTTGCGATGCAGCGCCGCCCCCCGCATCCATGGCTGGACGCAGCGTGGAACTCCGGGGCTGGACGAAAAGACCACGCCGGAGACTATGAGGAGGAGGAGCAGGAGGAGGAGGAGGAGGAGGAGGAGGCGACGGATCGAGGACTCCCCGCGCAGCTCTGCGCCAAATGGGTCCCCTAATGCGATCGATCGTGGAGGGATGCCGTGTGCCAGAGCGCCCTGACGGCGGCGTGAGTCACGCGCGGCAGAAAGGACGGTCCGAAGAGCAAGAGCATGTGAAGCCCTGCGGGGCCGTCATGCGCATCGGACCGTCGATGCCTCGTGGTCGTACACACCACAGCTGGGGTGAAAGAGTGCAGCGATGCGGTGCTACACGATTGGTCCTCAAACGCTTGCTCCCGTGAGATCTGCTCCTCGATGTTTGAAAAAGAAAGCGCACGGGAGACCGAATGGCCACGGAGGGGGGGGAAGGGGAAGGAGGAGAAGGAGGAGGTTAGGTTAGGTTAATGCTTCCACTGATGTGTGCCGATCACATGCCGGGAGGGCGCAATTTAAACAAAGATTCGTGCACAATATGTTGGTGAAAACGGGTTTTGCAACCGTGCCAAAAAAACGACCCTAGAGGCGAGGGAGAAGACCAAGAAGAGGGAGAGTTGGAGCCCCCGGATCTCGGCCGTCAGGCTGTCGATGCCCGCGGCCTGCCCGAAGATAGCCCCGAATGCGATGGGCTGCCAAACCCCGTGCACCCACATCCGCACTACGGTGGCGGCTGCGGTGGCCCCGGTTTCCAGGCTGTGCCCCTCGTCGCTGTGGCAGAGAACCTGGAGGGGCTAATTCGGTAAGAATTAAGGATTGGGTCGACGCACGAAAAGCTTCTCTGATATTGCATTGCATATCGCGCCACACGGTCCACCTCTTTGTTGAAGCACCGTCTTCTCCACTCTATCGGCTCGCCGAGCTATGTGGGCGGCCGCCATTTCCAGTCAAAAACGAGACCGAAGATCAATTTAGACACGGTTTCCCCCATATCTAGCACTCGCGGGGGACGACATACCGTCCGGCCAGCGCACCAGCAACGAATTCGTTGTCCACTACGCTATGGAAGAGATGTTCTCTCCCGCGCCAAATCTTTGGGCAGAAGCTCTAGAAGTCTTTCAGGAGGAGGAAGAGGAGGAGGAGGACGAGGAGGAGGACCAATGTAAACCCGAGAGTCATCCACGATGGTTGGGCAAACCCTCCCTCCAAGCTCCCATTTCATAGGCCCCTACAAAGTTTCATTTCCAT